CCTACCGCGTCGCACCCTTACACAGCGGCAGCTCGAAGGACAAGAGAAAGCGGCACCGGGTGGCCGGGCGACCCCATGGAGCAGCGGTGAGGTAGGTACGCGCAAGAGCGCCGCTAAGAAGCCGCTCGCCGCTGCTGGAGAGACGATGCAGGCGAAGCGGGCTATCGCGAGATTTGGCATCTTCTCCCCCGACCTACGCTGTGAAGTATCGCGAGGCGAGTTTTCTATCGCCGCTCCCTCCGGGAGGAAAGGCAGAACCCTTTGCGTCTAAGTATCGCGAGATTTCCTAGTCCACTTTAGCGTCTCGAAGGGAGGCGGGGAATTCCCCAGCCAATGCGGTTTTCCACCCAAAGTATCGCGAGATGTCAGTTTCTCCCCGCCCCCAGTGATTTGCCCGAGAGCGGAAGAGGCGTAGAGCCTCGCCTGCGGGTTGAGCAGGGGCGTCCTTCTCCATTGGAGTGGAAGAGAGGCTTTCTGAAATTCAGAGTGGCTGCTCTGAAGCAACATACGGTGTGTGCGCGTGTGTGTGTCGTTTTGGGTTGAAAATACTGGCGGGGGCTCTTTAATCCGTTAAAGGTCCCTGGGCAAGCTTTCCACGTGCAAAGGGGACCAGATCCTGGGGGGAAAGTAGCAATAGCTCCCCCCCCCGCACAATTTCTTGCGCCCTGTAGGGTAGTCCTTCTCAGCCTTCCCTGTATTTTATTGCGTGCTTTAATTAACGCGTGTATTTTGTTGCGCGCTTCATCCTTCCCAAACTTTTAACGTGTGATTTCGCCGTGTCGTAAGCTTAAAGTGCGGCATGCCTTGAAGACATACCCCGAAACACCTTTCTCATACCCCTGTGCAGCAAGCAGAGATTCTACAGGGAGAGGAGGATCAGCTTTTTCCAAAAGGAAAAGGGGAATGCGGGGCATCTGCCAAAGATCGTGCAATTGCCCGCTCGGTCGTCTTAGTAAGCATCTTGCTCTGCGACTCCAGAAAGGGAGAAGAAGCCCTCTGCAGTTGCAGATTGTCTCTCGAACTAAGGCTTAGCGGTGTTGGTAACAAGCCACGAAGCCAAAATAATCATATGTGCATCATGTTGTCATGAAAATGACTTGCCTAAGTCATGTTTGAGGGTTGGTGTCACAATGCTTGTGTCATCACCCCTCCGCCACCCTCTGCAGATGCTCATGGTCTGAACTAACTTTGAGTTTTTGCTTTCTGAGCTATTGGCTGAGTTCAGGCAATATGCTAAGTTATTATTTACTCAACCCTGGATATAAAATGCATCATGCTTGAATTCCTTCAGCACATATTCCCATGAACAGTGGTTTGCAGGGCACACAATAGTCATATTTTGTTTAGAATATTGTGTGGGACAACATATAACCTGTAAGCTTTGAAGAGTGTGAAGATGGAACACCAGGATGTGTCTATGGCACTATTTTGGTTAAGGTTTTAAAAAAAGATCATATCTCACATTCTAGGAGTTGAAAATGACTTGATGGCACATAATAAATCACTCTATAGCATGTAGAAATATAAGTGGCTTAGAGTTTCCTTGCATCCTACAGCTTGTAAATCAACAGGGACAAAGTTTTAGGCTGCAACCCTATGCCTGCTTTTAGAGGTATAAGTGTAGCATGTTGGCTAGTGGTTAAACAGATTTGTGCCCTCCACCATTTTAACCTTTGTTGCACACAGCTCTAAACAGAGTGTTAGGAAGTTGACTGAACCCAAAATATATGTAATTTGTGTTGTATAAAAATTGGAAACGATGGTTATTCGCTACTCTCTAACCAGGCTTTGTGGTTTAGCACGTAATGCAAAACAACCCTTTCCTAAATCGGGGGAGGGGGGCTTCAGACAGTCACTCATGCCCTAGTCACTTCACAGCTTGACTACTGCAATGCACTCTACGCGGGGCTGCTCTTGAAGACCACCCAGAAGCTTCAGCTGGTCCAGAATGCAGCAGTACGAGCAGTAATGGGTATGCCTCTGTATGCTCATGTAACACTTCTGCTTCATGAGCTACACTAGTTGCCAGTTTGCTTCCGGGTGGTCATTCCACCTGCCCTCTGGAATGAGGTTCTCCCCAAGATTTGAACGGCCCCCACCCTATTAGTGTTTTGAAGGGCCCTGAAGATGTGGCTTCAAGATGTGGCACCAGGCCTTTGGTGATGGCAATTGATGCTCCTTTTCTTCCTTATTCCTCTCTGGGTTTATTTTCTCTGCCATCTTTGTTTCTTTGTTTTGTGTTTCTTGTATCATTTCTTGTTTTTAAATGTTTTTAACAATTTATAAACCTCCCAGAGTTGCTGCAAGTTGGACAGCATATAAATTTAATAAATTATTATTATTATTAAATTATAACAAGCATAAAGCTCGGTGAAATGGGGTTGAGTAGACATTTAAATATATAGGATAGTTCTATTATATCTGCAAACTGTTTTGTTGCCAGTGAATAATAAAACTGATTACAGTTTACAACTTGCTGGTTGAGTTGGGGCTTAGGACCTATTCCTGGGTTTCAGGCTAATCTGATTAATGTTTTAATAAGTTTGAATTATGTTGATTAATCCTCAGATCATAATAAAGTCTTAATTGAATCTAGTTCAACCTGTCCATGTGGTTTTCTTGGCAACAATCAGGAAGCAGTTTGCCCCTGCTGCATTCCAAGATGTGTGTGTGTGTCTGTGTGTGTGTCCCAGTTTCACAATCTAGTTGCAGGAGGTTGTAGCACCTGGCTGATCTTGGCTGATCTCAGAAAAAACAAGTGGGATCAGACCTGGTTAGGACATGAATAAGATACCACCAAGAAAGTTTGTTGTCAATCCTGGGATGTAATAGAGTTTCATGTGATAGTAAATTTGGAACAAGTATTATGAGATAAATATCTGAAAACTTACCAAGTAGTTCCATATTTTCATTTTTGTGATCCATCTCTCTCTCTCTCTCCAATGCAGTCCTAGTAGTTTAGTTTTGTTTAAAACATTATTCTTTGTGTGTCTAAGAATCTGTCTTATGCAAAGGATTTTAAACGTAATTATTTGTAAATTGCAGTATCATCTTCTACATTTAATAGCCTGGTTTTTAATTTATATAGTGTTTGCCTAAATCTTTCATTTAATTTGTTGTAGAAAGAAAATGAAGCTTTTCTCGGAGTCACACAAAACAGTTTTTGTGGTAGATCACTGCCCGTATATGGCAGAATCTTGTAGACAACATGTTGAGTTTGATATGTTAATAAAGAATCGGACTCAAGGAATCATACCTCTTGCACCTATATCACGATCACTATGGACCTGTTCAGTGGAATCATCCATGGAATACTGTAGGATAATGTATGATATATTTCCTTTTAAAAAACTAGTAAGTAACAATTATCTTTTATAAATAAAATGTTTTGTAAATAAGAAGTTCTATGCTACTACACTCATACTTCATGTTAAGCCATGATTTTTGGTTACCATGATTGTTGAATATATCATCCACAGTCAGGGTAAGTCAAAACCCCAGGAATCAAATAAGGTCTCAGAGTGAAACCTTGACTCTGCCTAGTAATACAATGCAAAGTATGTCCATTTTGAGGTCAGTGGAATGTACTTTTTATTAATTCAGTTGAGGATTGTAGCTCACATAGTGTACATCTTGCATCTTCAGCACTTGGACAAGTTACCCCATTTGCTTTTTAAAATACAAGATTCTTCAGGTTCAGTACTAAATTAGTATATTTTTAAATATACATAGAGGAACCTTAATTAACTAGAAGCTTGAAGAAAGCTTAGTTCATAACAGTCCCATGCATCTTTTCAATAAAGCAAACTTCTAGTACAGAGGTAGGATTTTTTTTTTCTTTAACCTTACAGTCAAATTGGAGCTAGCATGTCAGGTGCTAAATTCCGGGAATGTGGATGGCCACTTCTGGCATGCTTCCCTGCCTACTTTTGCATAGACACATTGCCTGTATGTTCATATGATGTGCTAAGCCATAGGAAAGAGATAACAGACTCCCTGTTATCATTTTATCCCCCTCATATTTATACAGGATAGGTGGGGCAAGGCCTGAAGAAGAAGCTAGAAGGACCAAATCCTGCAGGTCATGGCTGACCACAGGCGTGACAAATATCTTTAGACTGCAGCCTAAGGGATCAGGTCACATTCTTACTTTATGATTTACAATTTTATAGTATGTTCTTTTATTAAACATCTTAAAGCATTCATGTGAGAATAAAATGAGTTCTGATCATTTTTATTTGAACTGTATACTATTATATTATCTGGTATATGCATAAGCCATAAAAAATCAGCTGTCATATTTATTCAATGAATGCTTATTGGAAGATCATTTGAAGGAATGGGATGCCTCCTTGGACTCAAATGTTATGAAACGTATTGATGCGAGTAAGCCCTTAGCTGTCACATAAAGTGAGCTTCTACAGATTATCCCTTTATCCTGTAACCTACAATGAGGTTATCTTTCTTAGAAGGAACTCGGTTATTGTTATGCTTTCGCCAAATCATGAAAATGT